GACAGTACCACTTGAGTGAGCATGAGATATTTGAAGGAGTTTTGCTCTCTTTGATTGTAATTTTCGTATACTTCTATGCATATTGTGTGCAGGCTTATTGTGGTGCTGAACATGGAGACGACAGTACAACATTTTGAAACCATTGGCAACCCCACAATGTCTGTAGAGACAATATGCCTGGAGAAGGTTCCAGGAATGAGATAAGAAAAGCTGTTTCTCATATCAAAGAGGAAGATCTTGAAAGATCAGATAAGCTTGACTGGGTCACTGTGAAAGCAACCATATCATTCATCAAAACTGATAGCTTCTGTTACACAGCTTGTCCTTTGATGATTGGAGATAAATAATGCAACAAGAAGGTGACACGGACTGGAACAAACATGTGGCTCTGTGACCGGTGCAACCAAGAGTCCGAGGAATGTGACTACAGATACCTAATTCAGGTGCAGATTCAAGACCACACAGGGTTGGCTTGGGTAACCGCGTTTCAAGAATCGGGTGAAGAGATCATAGGCTGTCCGGCTAAGCAGATTTACACACTGAAATACGAATTGTAGAACGATGAGGAATTCGCAGATATTGTTAGAAACAGACTGTTTCATCAGTACATGTTGAAGTCGAAGATCAAAGAGGAATCTTACGCGGATGAACAAAGAGTGAAGATGACCGTGTGAAGGTTGATAAGGTTAATTACACATCAAAGAGTACATACTTGCTCGATTGGCTCGTAACTTCGTAAGGCCTATATGGAGATCTCATTAACTCTCAATTAATGCAAAATCGAGTTTATTTTTCGATCTTAGTACTTTACCATATGATGTAATTCGAGCTTCACGCTTTTTCGAATCCCATTTTTTTACTTGTGAGTAGCGTACACACCAAAGTTTCATTACTGGAACATTAAACGAATACACAAGACACACATTACAACAATGGTGTAAGAAAGATAAAACATATGGAGGATTACTGTACTAACCTTTAAAAGTATCTTTATTGTTTGTTTGACGTTTTTTATTTTTTTTACAAAACTAACCTAGCATACCCAAAACGCTATTTTCGCATTTGTTGAAAAAAACCTAATTATAAAAATGTCATTACTTTTTTAGTGCCACGTAGGCAGAAAATAGCGCTAAAAATTTGATAAGTCTACTAGGCTTTGACGGTAGACTTATTGATCAACGCAACATTTTGGATGACAGAGTTATTAGGACGATGGTACATTTATTCGAGAGTTGGTAGATTTGTTAAATATTGATAGACTTTTGTAGAGTTTTGACAATGAGAGGTAGATTTATTAAGTTTCGGTAGATTTGTTGTTATGTATGGCACACTTGTCAAATGTGTTGGTAGACTTGTTAAGGAAATCGTTAGCTTACTCGCATAGTTGACTTGTCGGTAGATTTTTTGACAATTGGGTAGATTTAATTCCTCAATTGGTAGACTTATTTCCTTTGGTGGTAGATTTATGTTACATTATTTTTATTACGTGACAGTAAATTTATCTCTTTATGGTAGATTATTGTTGAAATAGGTAGATTTATATCTTGTTGGTAGATTTTTCACTTTTTGTGGTAGATTTGTTAGTTATGTGGTAGATTTACATTCAAGTAAAAGTTTGGTGATTTCCTTCCGTTAAGTGGTAGATTAATTGTTACATGTGCTAGATTTATAAAATGTTGGTAGATTTGTTCGTTTGTTTGGTAGATTTAAGATCAATTGGTAGAGTTATTGTACGTATGGTAGACTTCTATTGAGCATCATGTGGTAGATTAAATAAGTTTGGTATTTACCTAGATAACCTCGATCTGGTAGACATATGTGCTGTTTGGTGGTAGACTTGTTTCTGTGGTAGAGTTATTTACCATGTCTGAGGTAGACTTAGTTGTTAGTGTTAGGTAGACATTTGACTTTTTGGTTCAAAATTACTTTTTTGCCCTAAATGTATTCTGCAATCTACGAAAACCCGGAGGTTTGGTAGACTTATATTTGGAGTGTTGTACGTATTTCTAGGTTCGTCCTTATGGTAGACTTTTGGTCACGGTTATGTGAAACGGTTTTCTCTGACCGTTGCATCGATTTAAATCAGTGCAACTTCTCTATAAATACAACACACACCCGAGAATTTTCATTTCCCATCCCGAATTTCCTAATATGGCCAATCAAATAAACATCAACTCGCTCCCTTCTGATATTTTGTATGAGATTCTGTTAAAAATCTCTTCAAACTCATATGCGGATCTTTGTATAGCAAAGTTTTGTCGAAAACACTTAACAACATCTCTAACAAAGCAGGTTTTCTAAGGCAAGTTGATTTGATATCTTTTATCATGCAGTGGAGGTGGGATCAACATGGAAGGGTGGGTGCATTCTTCACACGGTGCTTGGAAGCAGGAAATCCAACCGCACAATTGCGAAGAGGTTTATCTCTGATTTTTTTCAAAGATAGCCTCCAAGCAGGGTTAGATTTCATTAGGATGGCATCAAACAGTGGATCTCTCATGGGTAAATACTGCCACACTATGTTACATCTAACCATGGATGGCACAGCAGAGGTATTCAACACCATTCAAGGTCTTTCCCGGTAAGATGCAATGAAAATGAGATTGACTGTGCAAGACATCTATATACGTGTGTTCAAATTCGAGAAGCCTGAGGAACTGGTGGAAATGGTTTTCCAGGTGTATGTTAAATCTTCCTCGAGGAAGATGCAATGAAAATGAGATGGTTGATACGTATGGAGATCAACTCTGCGATTCCTGCTTCTGGAAATTCGAGTGTACCAACTTCTGGGAAACAATACCGTCATTTGCTATGGAATGGCCTCGTTGATTGCAACAGTAGTACATGTTTAATTATCGTATGGTAGACCTAAGTTTACTTTAGTAGATTTGTTTTGTTTTTGAAGTAGACTTATGTTAAAGTACTATTACAATAAATAAAAACTCTACCATTCGTTCGATTATAATTGAAAGAAATCTGACAAGAGTATATTACAACTATCATTTGTTAAATAAGTCTACCATCCGAAAACATAGTTTGCAAAGGACCTATAACAATACTTCGACTTAAGGAAATATTACTTTCTACTTCAACATTATTAGTACTAAAAATAAGGAAACTGACTTGTACTTAACATATACGCAATGCCTGCAAACACGAACAGCAATGCCAGCATCAAGTAGTGGTCACCTCTGGCGTTTTGCTCCGTCATCCAAACGAAGTCTCCATGAAGCTGACTTATCTCATCTTTAATTTCCCTAATGTCTCCGACCAAGTCAATGCTTTCCATGGACCTCTCCAATATCTCGACACGAGTCTCTAAATGCTTGAAACGAGGATCAAAAGCTTGATCCCTGCCAAGCCTTTGCAAGTTCTCCTTATGCTTCTCAAGGTATGTCTTTAACCGTTCCAATTCCTCTGTAACAGCCTCATCCCACCATTTCCAGATATGTTCTCGACTCCCCTATATACATCAGGCCAATTTCATACATTAGTTATCACAACAATTACCAAAAGCTTAACAAAAGGATTTTTTAACAAAACTTATAACAAATATTCAAGCTACTTACCTCCTTAAACCAGTCTGGACAAGTGTAATACCTTCGGCCAGGTGTTGCTATCACGGCACCAGTCATTGATTGAAAGATCATATCCCTACCACAAAACATTTCTGTGGAATCCCAAAATCTCCATCCGTATAAGCCCAACTCATGTCCATTTGCGGTTCTTCCGACGAACTGTCGTTATAGCAAATCGGCATTGTCTGTGTCCGTAAGACAATTGAAATCAACACAAATCAAACGAACAAAAGTCTACCATACAATTTAAAAATTCTACCATTTATTACAAAAGACTCTTAGACTTTTATTGAATACAAAAGTCTACCATAGATTAAAAGGTCTACCATAAAATAAAAAGTCTACAATTTAGAAAAAATTAGGGTTCCATTGTTGCCGCCAACTGCCGCCGACAGCCGCGAAACCATTATTCAAGGAGGAAACAGAAGCATTTTACTCAAGCAACACCACTCATTCAATGAACATTATCCACAACAAAGATCGAAATCTCGAATAATCTCTAACATAATTATCGGTGAGTTTTCCTTCGCCGTCGGTGGAATCACCGAATCGCCTAATCGTCGCAAGACCAGAAGATTTTTATCTAAACTCGACTTACTTTACGTTTTGTGCTGGTTTTCATGTGTAAAAATATACTTTACATGGCAGATTTATTAACATTTGAAGTATATATTTTTCTCGTTGGTAGACTTATCGCCTTCTTGGTAGATTTGTGGTGCTAATGGTAGATTTAATGACAATGTGGTAGACCTATATATCGGGCATTGCATTTTGACCTTTTTGCCCATGTACTTATTCTCCAAAGTACGGAAAAACCAGAGTTCATCTTCAACCTCTAGGTTTCGCCGTCGAGATGTTTGTGTAAACTCTTGCATGTTGATTTTCTTCTTTCTTTTTGCAACCACATCTTCTAAAAATTCGATCTTGTGCCTCTTATCCACTTTTATATTCATGGATCAAGTTGTTTTGGTTTGTGGTAAGTGGATTTTGAAGAAAACCAGGTGAGTCTTCGTCGTAGATCAGTCCAGGAGATGTAGTTTTACAGGGATCGACCGCAAAACATCCTTCGCTGATTTACTTGAAATCGCATATGAAGATTTCAGGTTGGATCATCAGATTTATGAGCTTCAGTTCAGCTATATGTTGTCGTCTGAAGTCCGGCGGAAATTACCTCTAGATACACCTCCCGTATTTGTTGGGAATTCAAGAGACCTGCAGAGTTGTTTGCGTCAATTCCAGAACGAAAACGAAACAGTTCGTTTATGTGTTGAGATTAATAAAAAAGTTCAGAAGGGAGTTGTTGATGAAGACGAAGATCGAGATGCAGGTCCTAGTCAAATTCATGAAGAACAAATTGATATTGATGTTGGTAAAAGCTGTGAAGATCGTCCTTAACAAGGTCATGAAGTTGGAGAAGAAGAAATGGATGAAGAAGAAGAGGATTTCTCAACCAGATTTGATGGCTGTGAAGATCCTGATTGTGCAAGTTCCGATGACGAAGAGTACGGTAGAAGTGAGAAATGTACAGATGGTGGAAGTTCAGATGATGAGAAGTTGCTAAATCTACCACCCAAGAAAAGAGGACCGACCTAATTCCCGACTTTCAAAGTCTAGAGATTTCATCTTTAGACTTAGCCATTGGCTAGCGTTATGAAACAAAAGAGGAGTTCGAGATAAGACTCAAAATTTTTTTATTGCTCAGAAATTCGACTACAATGTCGATCATTCGAGTCTGAAATAGCTTACTCTTAAGTGTTGGGTAGATGGATGCAATTGGAGGGTTCATGCTTCAACTGTTGGGACCAGCAAATGTTTTTGGGTTAAGACTTACATTCGAGAAGACACTTGTTCTATGACTGTGCGATCAAAACGCACCCGCCATGCAACCCATCAGATACTAGGCCATCTATATAAGAACTTCGTGGGAGGTGTTGGACCAAAAGTCTTGCCAAATCATGTCGCTGAAGCTCTCATTAAACGATATAGTATCAAGGTTTGTTTGGTAGATTTGTTATAATGTTTGGCAGATGTTTTAAAACTTTAGGTTGAGGTACAGTAGACTTATTATCTATTGTGGTAGACTTATCGTTGATTCTCGGTAGATTTATGATCTCATTTGTTAGATTTTTATATTGCTTTGGTTATATTATTTCACATTTAGGTTGACTATTGGAAAAAACATCGGGCCCTAAAGTATGTGCGAGAACTAGTATCAGGGACGTCTGAAAGCGGTTATGAAGAACTGACGTCATACTTATATATGATTCGGCGAGCAAATCTGGGAACACTAATCAAGCGAGAAGTTGATGAGGAAGATAGCTTCAAATTTATGTTCCTCTCATTTGGTGCAAGCAGACATGGGTTTCCTTCATGAGGAAAGTGGTAGTTGTCGATGGTACGTTTTTACATGGAAAATACAAACGTACACTACTACTCGCCACCACGCAAGATGGAAATTTCAATATTTTCCCATAGCTTTTGCCGTTGTTGATACTGAGAATGATGAGTCTTGGGAATGGTTTTTTAGACAACTACACCGTGTTATTCCTGACGATGAAGGACTTGCCATTATTTCTGATAGGCATAGATCCATAAGAAATGCTATAGGGAAGGTTTATCCTCTTCCTAGTCGGGGTATTTGTACATATCATCTGCATAAGAACATTATGTTGAAATTCGGAGGCGCTGAAACATTCCGGCTTGTTAAGAAGGCTGCCACAGCTTATAGAATTCTCGAGTTCAATGCCCTTTTTCTCAGATTCAAGAGGCAAATCCTGCACTGCATGCATACTTGGTGAAGGCTGATATTTGTATGTGGAGTCGTGTACACTTCCAAGGTTATAGGTACAATTTCACCACTAGCAACATAGCAGAGTCATTAAACAAGGTGCTATCCGCTGCAAGAGTTAAGCCTATTGTACGTCTTGTGGATGGTATTAGGAGTCTCCTGACCAGGTGGTTTGCTAAAAGACATGTCAATGCCAATAACATGGAACCAACTCTAACAACGGGCATTGAGAATTTGCTTGAGGTATACTTTCATTTATTTGGTAAACTTTCATTTATTATTAGGTAGACTTTCTTTCAGTATTTTGTGGACTCTTTTTCTGATTTTGGTAGACTTTCTTTGCCATCAAGGTAGACTTTCATTTCTGTTTTCAATAGACTTAAACTTATTTTGGTAGACTTATCTAACGTCAAAATAATTGCTTTCCGACAGGCTAGAGTTGAAGATGCTAAACTCTTACCTGTGCAAGAGATTGATCAGCATCGTACAGAGGTTTTAGGCATAACATCTGCACATGTTGTCAATTTGATAGAGAAAACATGTACTTGTCGACGGTTTGATTTGGAAAAAATCCCTTGTGTACATGCCATAGCCGCCGCCGATAGGAAGAAGTTATCTCCGATCTCTCTTTGCCATCATTACTACCACACTAGTTACTTGCAACAAGCTTATGCTGTTAGTATAATGCCAAGAGATGTAGCACTCCCAGTGCCAGATGAAGTACATACCAAAATTTGTCTCCCGCCAGATGTTCGCAACCCACCCGACAGGCCAAAGAAAATTTGATTAAGGGTGCGTTCGAGGCCGCCATGGCGAGTAAACATCCTAGGAAGAACCCAAATGTGGTAATGGTGGCCAAGGCGGACATAACCGCCTAACATGTCAAGCTTAGTTGTCAACTTTATTGTCCACTTCTTAGTGGTTGCTAGTATTTGTGTTATTATAGACTGTAATAATCCGTTTGAAAACTTTGTTTTATGTACTTGTAAATCTAGAACTTTTATATCATTAACTCTACTATTTTACAATAAGAAATCTACCAATCTTGCTATAAATCTACCATTCATTTTATAAATCTTCCATTCATTTAAACCATATAACATTTGTGGGTGGTCACAAAAACAATATGAAACTTCCATAGGACGAGAATGTAGACTAAAAAGCAGGTTCCTTTTACATCAGCATCTAGTCGATTTAAAGTCCAAAAAACAAGTAACATCTAAATCCCAAAATACCACCAAAGAGGCTGGATATGAGTAATAAATCAACTAAAAATACAAATTCAGATACCAGAAGTCTACCAATTAGTTTGGATCTGAGTATTAAGTCTACCAAAATACAAATTCAGATCCCAAAAGTCTACCATACCAATATCTCAGTTAGCCGAGTCTGTCTGAAAACCATACTTGTCATCGAATAAACTACATGGGTTAGGCTCAGACATCCGGGATTCATCAACTTCATGTACCTCATCATAAATCTCAGCTGCATATTTCATACGAATGATAGACATGTTGCTATCTTTCAGCTGGTCCCATTTATGGCACAAAGCCTAACACTCAATGGTCTTTAAAGTATAGACGCCACAATCACCTGGTAACAAGTATCCGAGAATTAGTTAAAAGTCTGCTAGACGGAGAAACAAATCTACCAAAATAAAATACCAAATCGACTAAACTGCACTGCACATGTCTGTCTGTTTAGTGGGGCTGTTTTAAACATGTAGACATGAAACTGGCCCTCCTTCATCCCTTCTTGAGCTCCGGTGGTGCCATATGTTTCAACAACAGCGGAATCATCCTCGCATAGGGCTTGACAGAGTCCTCCACCTCACCTTTTTTGTAAGAATCTGGAATGCAATCAAACACTCGGATCTTTCTTTTGGGAATGTCCACCTCCACGGCAACCCAATGTTTGTTGTTCACGTTGTGGGCGATATACACGAAATCAACATCTTTCCCCCATTTCTTGTGTGTAGGCAAGTAATGGTCATAATGCCCATGACAGCTTCCAAATAACCATCACTGAATATCCAAATCTTCTTGTTTGGTAGAAATTTGTTCCAATAGTCTCCACACCAAACTCGACAAAAGATAGGGTCCATGAAAGCAACTCTTTCCCCTTTCTAAAGAGATGGATACCGCATAGACCGTTGCCGGAACATGTCTAATCCTTTGCAAATATGCTGCATCATGTAATAATTAATTGGTATAATACATCTACCAAAGTAATTCTCTACAAAACAATATAACAAGACTACCAAACATTATAACAAATCTACGAACTAATATCAAAAGTCTACCAAACAATCACAAAAGTCTACCAAAAATATTACAAGTCTACCAAACATTATAACAAATCTACCAAAGTAATTCTCTACTAAACAACATAACAAGTCTACCAAAAAATTTCAAAAGTCAACCAAAATATTACAAGTTTACCAAACATTACAACAAATCTACCAACTAATATAACAAGTCTATCAAACATTTTCAAAAGTCTACCAAAAATATAACAAGTCTACCAAACATTTTGCAACCAAAAATCAGGTGAATGATATGACCACGTACCTAGTCATGCAACCACCCGTACTCCTTTCTCGACCAGCTTTCTTTAGGGGTCATTATTTCAGGTAAAATTCTCCTCTTGCATATGCACTCACCAACTGTTTTTCCTTGAAAAATGAAATAGATATACCAGACTCAAAATCAAGTCTACCGAAATACCTAACAAGTCTACTATATAAAACAAATAGGTCTACCAAATAAAACAAATAGGTCTACCATGTAAGACTTAAACTGACTTACGCTTCAAAAGCTATGTAGCGGAGTAGATTATCCAGTATTACACTGTCCACCGTTTCAAAAGGATCATACCTCCCAGGAGGGGGACTTGCAGCATCCATGATGCGTCTCACCACTGAGTTACCAAGGTATGGTGAAACCTGGGTAGATGCAAGGCTGCGTCCCCTTTTTTCTTTCTCAGTAGGTGCAATTTTTGCATTTTCCACCAGCTTATCTAACCGTTTCTTCATAGCTTCAATCGCTGAGTCGTCTTCGTCTTGTAGGGAAGGGATCTGTAATCCACGTTTAGACTGTAGTGGGCGTGAAGATTGCTTATATTGATTATCTAGGTTTCTTCGTTTTTGTCTTTTAAATCAGGTTTTGACTTTTTGCCTGATTGTTTCTTCTCTTTAGGATCAGCAGGTTCTTTTTTCACTTTGGTTACAGTCTTTCCTCTCGACGCTGGGGTTCTAACAACTCTTGCAACCGGAAAACCTGGCTCTGATGTTTCCAGCATCTCCATCATCCACGACTGCTTCGCATGTATAGTACTTTCACATCAGTCAAACCAAATATTAACATATCTAAATTTACCTAAAATCTACCAAATTAATTATAAATCTACCTTATATAAACATCACTAAAATTCCCATTCTGCCAAACTAATTAAAATCTACCACATAAAGTTAATCTTGTATTCAAGGCAAACATTAAAAGTCTACTTTGAAGAAAAAGTAAAAAACTTCGATACAAATCTACCAAAGTAAAAAAAGTTATTTCATACAAATCTACCATAACGGAAAACGATTTGTGTTAACATAGTTCTCTAAAATGTATGTTTTCTCCAGTAACTTTTGCTAAGTTACTGATATTCAAAGAAAGACTTGCGTACATGATCCTTTTCCACAGCTCCCGTTCCCGTTCCCGTTCCTGCTCCACTTCCCGCTGCCGTTCCTGCTACTACCGCTGCTGCTCGAGGAGATGCGTTTGGTGATGGTGATGTTTTGGATTCTGCATCTCCGGCATTCTGATCGTTGTCAACCTGGTTCTGATCGTTGTCAACCAGGTTCCCAGAATTTTCCATAGCCTCAACTTTATCCTCATCTTTCTCCTCGATAACAATAATCCTCTTATCCATTTCATCTAGACAAATTCCAACATTGTTGACATTGGTGTTTATCAATGCAACCATCGTTGATAATTGTGTAATTGCCTTGAGGATCTCACTAGTCCTCCTTCTCCATAGCCAGCTCTTTTTTATTGCTCTTGTTCTCTCTTTTGATATGATCATGGCCAGCATTAAAGAAATGGGTCTTGCACCAGAGGCTGAACCAGAGCTTGTACCAGTGGATGAGCTAGAGAATGAGGCATTGTTTGATCCAGATGGTACTAAGACCCGAGTTAATGCCGAGAAGCTCAAGGGAACAAATGGAGGAATACTTGTTCAAAACTATATTCGGCCAAGACACTTGGACCAGGAGGAAGAAGAGGTGTTTACAACTACTCTGGTTGTAAAAGAATCCCAAGAAGATCAACAAATGGCTAAGTGTCTCAGTTGTATTCTTTTTCCCTTACCTTTGGTTTTGTCCCAATGGGTTTTCCAAAGGAAGGTTTTTAAGGAGGCAATGGTGATCACTTCTCTTCAAGCCCAGTTTGTTGATTCAAGACTTATGCCCAGCCAGAAGAACAATCATATTTCGTCCAAAGGAAGCCTAAAGGTCATGGCAAGTGGAGATGAAGAGTTATTCAACCTTAGTCATTATTTCTAGTCTTTGCACTTTAATGCTTTGAGAATTTCGTGCCTTGCTTTGTTTTTGGCACTTTTATTTCTTTATAAACTCATGTAAGATCCCAGAAATAATCATCCTGGATTGGATCACCAAAAATTAATCAAACTCTTTTTATCAAAAACTCTTTCTCTTATCAAAACTGTGAGAAACTTCTCTTTGTCTTTTGAGAGTGATTCGTTGTCTTGTGCAACATCTTTATCATTTCTCATCTATCTCAGAGAGTGACTCTTTGCTTTGTGCAACATCTTTATCCTCTCTTATCTCTCTTTTGTGATCGATTCGTTGCTTAGCAACATCTTTATCGATTTATATCTCAGAACAGAAGTTTATTCCGCACCTTCTGTTTCTATTTTATCTCTCTTTCAAGCCTCTTTGTGCCGAGCTTTGGGAGGATCACATCATCTTTGCTTCTCTCTCTCCTTCTCCTTTCTTTCCTTTCTCTCCCTTTTCTCCTTTCTCTTTTCTTCAATCTCATCCTTCAGTAGCTTCACCGGCGAGTTGATAACACCGTATTTTGACCACTTTTATGGATCGTTTTGAAATACTTTTTCTATGTTTTTAATTGCTTTTAAGTACTTTTATTACGTTTTTCTAGTATTTGTAGTTTCAAAACTATTTTCAGGTAACTTAGGGAAAAGCTTTCCAGTGCACTTTACATCTTGGCAATCCAACGGTTCAATCAAAAGATACGCGAAGAGCAAGATGTCCCGTAAACCAGCTGGCCAACACTTCCACCCGCGGCCAACAAGCATTTTCCCGCGGTCACGAGTATCCCGACCGCAGCCTTCAACCTCCAAGCCCAAATAGCCCATTTCTGAAGCCCACATTTGGAGAAACCCTAAGTGACGTCCAGAGAGGTCTTGAACACTATAAATACATGTCTTAGGAGCCCTAGAAATCGTGTAACCTATCACCCCCGAAATATTTACTTCATATTCTTATTGTTTTTGCTTTAGCTTTTAGGGAGAGAGAGATTTGTTCTCTTGAACCCTTGTTCTTTCTTTTTCAATTTCGGTTTCTATTCTACTTCTTAATATTATGTCTTTGATTTCGTTCATTATGTCTGAGTAGTTTTATTGTTGGGATTAAGGGATTTTCGATGGGGATTTATATGTTCGATGAGGATTCCATTGGCTATTGAGCTGAATCTTAGAACTTTTTCTTCTGAATTCGTTTTTACTGCATGAGAGTAGTGTCATGAACTACAATCTGA